CAGCAGTTTGCGATAATGATCACAGAAGTTTGCAAGTTAAAAAAAGATAAATAGAAAACAGCCACGCGCCTGGCTTCTTAATTCCAATTCAAACTACCCCTATGATCACTGCCTTCTCTGAGTGAAGTCACCTTGCTGCCGCCGCCGCCGCCACTGCCGCCTCATCTATACCCCGGGTGCTGAAGGTGAAGGCTCCGGCTCTCCGTGGGCTCGCGCACTCGGTTCCCGGGAGGGCGGGCGGCTTTGCTCAGCACGGCCCCACCCTGCTCTCGGAGGCAGGAGCGGTGGAAGTCCCCACTTAAGTACTCCATCGTCTGCATCACGCCACCCTGGCCGGGGGCACCTGCCCCGGCTCGGCAGTGGGGCGCGGCCGTGCACTCCAGGGCAGCTGCCCCCATTGTCTGCAATCCTCCTCCTCCTCCTCCTCCTCCGCCCCCGCCCCCGCCCCCGTGGAAAGGCAGGGGCAGGTCCTGCGAGCCTGAGCTGTCGCTGTTGGGCGTCGGCAGAATGTTGTTCCAGAGGGGCTGGAAATAATGCCCGTTGGTGAAGGGCACCGGGCCCGGCAAGCCGTTGATGGGAGGCGAGGGGGTGGGCTTCTCCAGGGGAGGCTTCCCTCCGAATGGCTGGGCCAGGCACAACTCCAGGGCGTAGCCCGGCCCTTTGCCAGCAAAGCTCTGCCCGGGGAGCTCTCGGCTCGGGGGCTTCCCCATGGGCCCGGCGGGGCCGATGGCCTCGCCACACATCTGCTGCAGGTGGGCGAGCTGGTGCTGATTCCAGGCTGCTACCTGCTTCATTTCGCTTTGGTACGCAGGAGGACCTCGGTTCACACTCCCCAGGGGAACCCCCATGGCGGCAGCGGAGGGTGGGACGGGGGTGGCGTGCTCGCCAGGGTTCACCACGCAGGAAGGCAGGGGCGTGGGGACGTTGTGAGCGGATACCCTGGTGCTCGCGCTGATCAGGAGGTTGCGGCTGATGGGGCTGGGGTTGGCAATCTGTCCCTCGCACACTGAGGTAGCGCTGGCGCCCGTGCGGGCCTGGCAGAACTGGTGGATCTGGTGCACGATGCTGCTCAGGTCCGGGGGCGGGTTCTGCTGCAGGGTCGCAGCCATGGACAGCGGGATCGTTGAGGTAGAGACGGTCACATTCGGGGGGGCGTCGGCGTCTGCAATCTTCCTGCCCCCGTGCATGCCTGCGAGTGGCGGGGGTTGAGGCTGCTGCGGCAGCAAGTGGTTGGCGGGGCGCTGCAGCTGCTGCAGGGCGGGGTGGGCTGTGTTCTGCGCGTGCTGCTGCAG